GTTTTTGATTTAGTCTTAGTCTTAATCTTTAGACGAAAATGGTTATTATTTTTAGTCATATTTTAGTCATTCCTATCCTTCGTAGTTTTAGTCTAGTTTTAGTCGACGAAAACTCAAAACGTTTTAGTCAACTTTTAGTCGATGAAAAATTACATTTTAGTCAAAATGTGTCTCTATACTCTCTGAACGCTCCGCCCCCGGCCGATCTCTGTGTCCGCTGCAGCATGTATGTTAGGCCCCGCCCCCCGCACACAAAGAGACACAGGGAGATCGCTCTTCTGGAGTGAAGAGAGCGGAAATAATGATATTGCAAGTTAGAAACGTAAGATGCATTTTGACAGACAAGATGGACACTTGGGGGAAAATATGCTGCATTTTGAATGTCCGATAGTCCACCATTAACACCTTAGTCTTCGTCGCTGCTTTTGTGGCAGACTACAGCGCCACTTACAGGCCTGGCATATGTACTACAGCGTCTCCAGCGCTTTCGAGCAGCAATGGCCGGCCGTGGCCCAACCCCACATTCCCCTGATAGGTGGAGAGTTGGCCATATAGGCGGAGCTCCTCGTTCCTGACGTCAGAGAATTTTCTGTATCAGATCCGTTGCAGCCCCATTTTTTTGAGATTTTGGTATGAAGGAAAAGAGAGGGTTGTGTTTTCTGACACTTGGTGAGTTCCCTGACACACCGGGGACACATATTCATGTATAAAAGACGTACAAAAGTGCATTTTGCACGATAGGTCCCCTTTAAGTATTCAAGTAATATTGATTTAATGTCTTGTAATCATGATTACAAGACATTGTGATATTGGGCTATATAAATAAACATTGATTGATTCTGTCTTAAATAATAATGATTTAGTTTCTCGTCATCATGATTTTGTATTTGTTCTTGGTGTAGAATCATGAAATCATGATTTAGTATAAATATAATCACAATTGAATATCTCTTAATCATGATTTTGGATTATATAGTCTTCATTTACTCTCTGAAAATCATGATTTAACATTATACAGGCATGATTTTATTAAATGAAATTATTCTTATAGATTTAGATTTAGAATCTTGTTATCATACTTTTCTATTATACAATTATGATTTGGTTTGATATAATCTGAATTGAGTATCTCATGATCTTAATTTGATATTTTACTATTGTGATCATCTTAAATTTTGTATTTATATCCCTAAATATGCATCACATCATGTTGATAAAGCAGCACATTAGTCACATTGTCTTGGTTCAGTATCTCATATTCTTGAATTAGTACATTGCAATCTTGATTTCCAATCTCACTATCTTGATTTGGTATCCTATAATAATGACCCTCTATAATCTAAAAGTCTATCATCATGCTGACTCACAGAATGAGTTAATGACTCTGCATTTAGCACAGTGATCCAGAACACATCGAGTCTTTGGTGATGAGATTATTTTGGTGTTTCATGGCTCAGGAATGCAGAGGAAGGGAAGTGTTTTGTGCTAAACGGATGCCAATCCATTTAGAGGGAGAGAAGGAGGGGGGCTGTGGGATTAAGAGGGTGGCCGGCACGAGTGCTCTGATACAGTCACGATGCATTCGCTGTCACTGCCACATGTGGGCCTGTACTGAGAAGCGTTTTATAATATTGAGTGAACTTTTTTTGTATCTTTTTATCATGAATGTTTATAAAATCCTCTTTATTTGGTATCGTAATCTTGATTTCGTATTTTATAATCATGATTTTGAATAATATAAGATTATTTTGTATCTTGTAATCCAATTTTTTTAATAAAAGAATCTTGATTTCGTATTCTGTAATCTGGATTTTGTATTATAACATTTGTATTAAAGGTGACCTATCATGCAAAATGCACTTTTGTACGTCTTTTATACATGAATATGTGTCCCCGGTGTTCCAGGGAACTCACTAATGGCACATTTCCACTGCAGCGGGGTAGCCCCGTTTAAGCGTCCTCGCTCAGGCCTCGGGTTGCCTCGCTTGCCGTCCGAGGCCGTGGCCATTACAGTTTAGGACCTGGGGTAGCAACGCAGTGTAGGCGGGGCGATCGGCTTTTTTTTGGCCAATGAGATGTAGGAACGTCGTCACCTCCTCGGTCGACCACGGTGTGTTTTTCTTTGACGATGCCATTTTTGTAGCTCCTCCGTTTACAAAAATGCTGTGTATAAAAATGCTGCAAGCTTGCTTCTAGATATATATGTGACGCTAGGGATGATCTTGCGCGCGATCTTGTGACGATTCTCTCTGACCAATCAGCAGTCGAGAGTGTTGACGTCACTAGTTCAGCCCTGGCCCTGGCCTGATAGAACCACGATGTTTATGGGGGCCGGAAAAGAGAGGGAAAAAGTACCCGCTACCGATGCTACGCTATAATGGAAAGGGCCACCCAAAACCTGGCCTGGCCACTTGAGGACGATTAAGGATGTTAAACGGGGCTAACCCGCGCAGTGGAAATGCGCCATATGTCAGAAACAACCTCTCTTTATTTTGCCTCCATACCGCCAAATCTCTTAAAAAGGGCTGCAACGGATATCTTGAATAGCAGACTGATCTAAGATGTGAACACTTCTGCTGACGGCGCACAAGGAAGTTGGCGCTACGGCCGATTGGGGTCCAACTCCACCAAATCAGGAGAGAACAAACCCACCGGGACATTGCCGTTCGAAACGCTAAAAGAGGACCTGTAGTACATATGGCCAGGCTTGTAGATGGTGGCTGCTCCCACAGAATCCAGCCAATAGCAAAGACAATGTTAAAATTGAGCGAAGTGAGGAATGCTAAAAATGGGCATGATCTGTTTGGTATTGTTGAAAATAAAAAGTATAAATACATGCCTTTATATAGGTATAGTCCTACACCTATATTCATTCAAATATAGGCATGATAGGTCTCACTTTTAGTTAATGTGTGTATATTCCAATGTATTAATGTATCATTAGCGGAGCATGCTCATAATCTTGAGTTCATATTTTGGTTATATTGATTTGATGTTTTAATGTTCCATTTTATCGCTGACTTAAAACTTCTAATCATGTTTTAGTTTAAAACTTAGATTTTGTCTCACGTAAATAATGATTTAGAATTTTACTTCATTTTTTTGGTTTCATAATCATGAATTTAAGTATTATACTACTTTTACTTTGTATCTCATTATTATTTTAAAATATGCGATCATGGATTTATGTTTAAAAACTTGATTTTGTAAATGATCACCTTGATTTAATGATTGTTAACCTAGATTTTGGTTTCTTGATCTAGGGTTTACTGATCTAGATGCGCTTTTAGCAAACTTCGAATGTAGGTGTTTTAGAATCCTGATTTAGTCACATGTTCATTGCCTGACCACTCCTGATGGACACGACACTCGATCTGCCTCCTCGCAATGTAAATCTTTTCCAAACTCAAGCACTTTACATAAAAGACAACACGGTTAACAGATGGGTCTGGCTGTGGAGGACAGGGAGGGTCTGCCCTGTTGAAAAGACAGATAAAATTAATATAACTGAGAGCTGTCGAGGAGAGGAGGGCGGCCAGACAGACTGGAGAGGCATTTCAATTTTGTCCTGAAGT